TGTATATGTCTGTATATGTATGTATATGTATGTATATGTATGTATATGTGTATGTATGTGTATGTATGTATATGTATGTATATGTATGTATATGTATGTATGTGTATGTATGTATATGTATGTATGTATAGTATGTATATGTATGTATGTATATGTATGTATATGTATGTATATGTATGTATATGTATGTATATGTATGTATATGTATGTATATGTATGTATATGTATGTATATGTATGTATATGTATGTATATGTATGTATATGTATGTATATGTATGTATATGTATGTATATGTATGTATATGTATGTATATGTATGTATATGTATGTATATGTATGTATATGTATGTATATGTATGTATATGTATGTATATGTATGTATATGTATGTATATGTATGTATATGTATGTATATGTATGTATATGTATGTATATGTATGTATATGTATGAATATGTATGTATATGTATGTATATGTATGTATATGTATGTATATGTATGTATATGTATGTATATGTATGTATATGTATGTATATGCATGTATATGTATGTATATGTATGTATATGTATGTATATGTATGTATAGGTATGTATATGTATGTATATGTATGTATATGTATGTATATGTATGTATATGTATGTATATGTATGTATATGTATGTATATGTATGTATATGTATGTATGTATGTATGTATGTATGTAGGTATGTATGTATGTATGTATGTACATGCGTACATATAGCAAACCATAGAAACACGATCTGCCACTATGTTTGCTGGACATTCACTCTTCTATCTTTTTAGGGTTTGCTATATGGATAAATTAAACTACTGTAATTCCCCAGCGTCAAAAAGTCCGATATTTTGCCATAGTTGCCCCTTACTGACCAGTCACTAAATCTTGTCTGTAAATGTATACATACATTGTTACATAATCATACACAATATATATATATGTATATATATAAGTATACATTATACATTAATGTCATTGGTTAGATAGTGAACATGGGACATAAGTTATACTGTACAGATACACTATCCCAGCTATCCCAGCGGCAGCCCAGGCGTTGCTGGTTGTAAACTTACTCACTTGGGATGTCCAGGATCCAAGAAACACTTCGATCTGGAATGATCTAAAAATACTGTGCAACGGATCTGGGCAAATTATAATAGTTTTTGTTTTTTTTTAGGATATGGCTAACCATCCTCATTTCTGGTCGCGCCAGATCTGGTGACGTATTTATCAATGTCCAGCCAGTGGCACTTGTTTACCTACAGTTTGGAGCAACCTTAAGATAAGAAAATATATAAGAAATATAGTAGAACATCAAACAAAGAACATCAATAGGTGACCTAGGATCTAGGCTCATGTTCTATTATCGCAACCTATAAGACTCTTACCGTAATATTTAGTTCTCATAGAACCTCTGGTAGCTACTAATCCTGTTTCCCTCAAGCCATTGGGATTTGGGGGCCCGAATTTTCAGACCCGTGGCCGAAAAATTTCTCACCATCTGGAGGTTTCTCATATGAAGAAATGATGAATAGGTTTCTCCGAAAATGGCGAATCTAAAACCAAGATCTAATTTTGTCACAATTTAAATACGGAAAAATGATGATTAACCATGGATTTTTTATGGGAAATTATATAATGAATTTGGGTTAATCATGTTTCCCTCTATTGGATCTAATATCCCATAATTCATATTTGTTTCCACAAAACTTAAAATGTGATTTTATGGGACTCGGATGTCATTCGGATTCTGTGGGATTTCATTGGGATTGTATGGGATTTCATTAGGAACATCTATAGGAGTGTCATCGAAATTTCCCAGATGCTCCATGGGAATATTTACCAACATTTAGCCAAAAAAATACTGTCATGTAGGTAAATATACCAGCACCATGGTTCGCATAGCTATGGAAAATCACCATGTGTTATACGTAAATCATCATCTTTATCATCGAACGTAATGGGCCATTCTCATTCTCCATAGGCCAAATAACCAGAGGGTAGATCATCTCAAAGTACCATTAAGTCAACAATAAATCACCACTAAATCCTTAAGTCACCATGAATTTTCCACTGGCCTCATCAAAGCCATACCATGCCAAGGTGTCGTGAGTGATGGTGGCCATCGGTCTGCGACCATGGAAAATCCAAAAATCCATGGCTAGTCCATGGAACATCTTGGTTGAGCAAGTTCTTTTATGTCAACCGAGAAAAAATGCAATGATATGGATATGGGTCAAAACATGTCAAAACTCTGTACCCCTGTTGTACCCCTGTTGTACCCCTGTTGTACCCCTGTAGTTCACACCAAAATCTTCATCCCCCCTAGAAATGCTATCCGGAGGGTCATGACATTGACAGTTTATGGTAGATAATATAACTATAATATTCATGGGGATTATTTCATGGTTTATAAACCAACAAACATAACTGAGGGGCCCATCCTGCAGTTGTTTTTCAAAAAGAATAGGGACTAGGGACTTCAG